GGATTTCCCGGGTTAAAAAAACAACCAGGATCCCGGAATCCCGTTTGAGAAACCCTACTTCAAAGTTTAACTTCCTTTGTCTCACCCTTCTGTGAAATTTAACACCGATGAGTCATTGTTTACACATCTGGATGACTTTGAACACAGCTGGAGTTGGATTTCCCGGGGCATTCTCATAGACGTCGCGGGAGGATAAGGGTTTAAAGTAGGGTGAACACTAGCTAGCCGTATATTTTTAAATATTTTAAAAAAATTTGGAGACTTAAAAAACATTCCAAAAATTCAAAAAATTTCAAAAATTTTTAAAGACCGTGTTTTATGTAACGCTATGTAACCTGCCCGAGTTAACTCGGGCGAGGAACTAAAGGGTTTAATTAATTTTCTGGAACGTTTACGAACCAATATGCAATAACAAATTCGAATTTAAAACGGTTCGAACATTTGGTTAAAAAATCGAAATATAAAAAAAAATATTTATAACAATGTCTGAAATGTCAATTTAATACACCTAAGTACTCAATGAAGACTAAACGTAGTTGTAAATAAAAAATCGCATATAAAATAGCACAGTTCTTCCGGTTAAGCCTTAATGGTCTCCTTCACCCCCGCGGTGGAATTTCGAAAAATTTCTTAGTGTGCATTCCCATGACATACCCTAACTTTGTACCAAATTTCACCTCTTTAGGTTTAGCAGTTTGCCGTAGACGATGATGAATCAATTAGTCACTCAGTTAATCAATCAGTCAGGACAAGTAATTTTACATATTTATGTGAAGTCGTTGACCCGGTGGAGATTGGGGACTTAAAATCCCACTTCTCGGACACCAGTGTGAGGTTTGTCGATTGGAGAGAAAGTGTCGCGACAGTCGAGCGGTCAGCACTGTCGTGTGGGAGTGAAAAAACTTACTGAGACAGGTCCTCCATCGTATACCGTTTAATAAATATAAAAATTTTTCTTACAACAAATCCTTATAACGGCGTAACGCCTATCCAAAGTCCAGCAACAAGTTCGTAACACTAAAAGTTCAACTGTTCTGACGATAGTTTTTCTTCCGGCGATGGTGGCGTGAAGACGGCGACTCTGGGCTGCACAACACTATTTGGACCGAGGTCTTCTATCTACCAGGTGGACTTTAGCGATCTTGATGGCACGAGATGGTGAAGACAAGTCCTCCGAATATCCGACAAGTTCTCGTGGGAGAATGTCCGGATGACAAGAATCCTGGAGAGGAGCACTGCGAACCAAAAGCCAAGAACTACGAACCAAGAACGTCACATCCTTTTTTTGCGCGGTTTTTATAAGTTTTTTCTGAGTCCCAGATCGAACATTCCGATAGGTTGATGTCGATCTGCCCCCGTTCTCTAATTGGTCTCCCCTCCTCGTTACGAATTGTAACGGGATCGGAGCCCAGATCGCGGGGTGAGTCAACCCCGACTGACAATTTGATTCTTATCGAAGATGTTCGAACTAAGTACTCAAATTCATCTATTGTTTCTTTCTGAGAAATTCGTTTTTTCTCAGAAATTTCTACAGATATGACTTTATATGGACATTAAATATTCATTCTGCGTTTGATGGTTTCTTTTTACAATAAGATTAATAATTAAAAATTTTTTTCATACGAAATTAAAATATTTTTCGTGCACGAATTTCGACCCACTTCCGAAGCCTCACATTTAGATTCTAGAATTTCTTGCTGTTTTTAATTTTGTTAGTGCAACTTTTTCCTGTTCTTTTGTAANACAATAAGATTAATAATTAAAAATTTTTTTCATACGAAATTAAAATATTTTTCGTGCACGAATTTCGACCCACTTCCGAAGCCTCACATTTAGATTCTAGAATTTCTTGCTGTTTTTAATTTTGTTAGTGCAACTTTTTCCTGTTCTTTTGTAAACTGATAGAAATTAGTTTCTTTTACTTTTCAAATCTCTCAAAATTGCAACACTCGAATATTGCATGACGAGGAAAAATTACTATTACACATTTATGTAACTTCGATTAAGTTTTCAAGGTAAAAGAGAAAATAAACATTTTCGAACTAAAATTAGAATACTAATTGCTGTCCATTAGCATATTACTGAAATTAAAAACCCATCAAATTTCCATAAAAATCCATTTATTACAATACATTAATAATAAAAAAAAAGGATAATTGAAATACCATTTAAGTATTTTAATGACTAAATGTATTATATCGATCACTCTACCAATTAAATTTATATATTTTTCATAAAGAACGTAAATGTCTTAGCCTACATTTATTATATGTAATAAATTCCGGATGTAAATATCTTACATACCCAATTTTATGTATAATGCAGCTACGTCTTCTTATCACTTTTAATTTCAGAAATAATACAGGAGAGAATATAACAGCATTTCTAATTTTCTGCTTTAAATCGAAACTTTTAGGATTTATAATTTGCAGAAACACGAATTCGCTGTGTTATGAAAAGAGAAAAACAGGGGATTGCAAATAATAAAAGAACTAAATCTTTATACTATTCGATAGAAAGAAACTTGCTGTAGTTGAAAACATGAATTCGAATATACAAGATAATATTTGCATGTGCTGTTTCCTAAGACCTTGCTGGATGATGTCTTTCGTTTTCGGTTTAGAACTATTTTACTTATGTAACGGCAAACAACATATTTCAATTCTGCAAAATGCTAAATTTAAAAATATTTATATCAAATGTTTAAATTTCATTTTATGGAATAATTCTTGTTTGCTCTTGTTACAGGCAACACCAGTTTTCAGTAATTATATAATTTGTAAAGGATTGTTTGATGATGTGGGAACTGAAGATGTCCGTACAACATTGAGTGTTGTTTTTGGACTCATATATTTATTTTATTCAACGTGCTTCACTTTTTTTCCAAAGCAACAAAATTATTTTATTAAAAACTGGATTGAGACACGAATATTTTCGGCAGAAAATGATACACGAACGAAATTCCACAATGCGAAAAATATCTCTATTCGTTGCATTCATTGCAATGCCGATTGTTATTTCTTTTCATTTCGCTAATGTATTTTTGTATTATCCCGCTATGCAGAGAAAACAGTATTTTGAGGGTGAGGCGCTATTGTGTACTATTCAGTTAGGTCTAGCTGAAATGTTTTTGATAGGAGGAATTTGTTACGGATTGTTGTTAACAGCTTTATTATTGTTTGTGTCTCATAAAGAATTTGAACAAATGTTGCATGAACTTTTTGCGATAAAACAAAATAAGATATTTGTTCTAAATGAACTGAACGAATTTATGCAGCATCACGAAGAATTGTGGCAATTCGTCAATCAGATAAATACAAAGTTTAATTATATATACTGCGTAATTTATTTTGGTATCATTTGGACAACGAGTGTTTTCTTTTATTTATATCTGTTTCTAGAAATGAACGAGTTGCACCAACAGATACTTTTAGGAATGTGTATTGTTTTAACTTTAATTTGTATATATTGGGGATGTTTATTGTGCTGTTTTGCATTTACGGTAAATGTTTATTTGTGTTTTATATATTATAATTACTTTTATATTCGATTCGAATATTAATATTATACGATCGTGTGTTTTGTATCTATTAACATTAATTGCTGTAGTTGTAATTTGTTTTTCTCACACTTCAGATGCAGAATGGTTTTCAAGACATTTGTCAATTTGCTGTGTGTAACCTGAAATTGGAACAGAAACTAAAGGTGTGGCTTATATAATTTTTAAGTTTGTTTTAAATGAATTGTGTTCTCATTAATTTTCGTAATAATTTTTAATCTTGAAAGATAGATTCTGTTGTGTATTATGATGTGATCAAATAGCTTATTAATGTTTTAAAATCACTTCTGTTAGTGTCTTTAAAGAATAACTTACACTGTTGCGCACGTGAATAATTTTATTTTTCTGCAGGTATGTGCACGTACGTTTAAAAATAGACATTATTCGTATTTGTCTTTGTGTCAATTAGCAAATTTTTTTCTGCCTAAGCCTTAATATATACACCACCGAAGTTCTCATTTCGCTTACAATATCTGTCCGGAAAATTTGCAAACTTTGCATGTAGAAGTTGTTTGGGTTTAAGTAGAAGATGTTCAATTTAATTTTGTTACTTCCGAAGTAGTCCTTTCACGAGTGTATGCACCGAATTTAGGAAATTTAGGAACGCATCCCGAAATGCATCTTTTGGGATTTTTCGCATCTTTTGCGATGTGATGCGCGACAACTCAAAGATGCATTTCGGGACGAGCCCCTCATTAGTTTAATACATATTTGCAAAGTGACAGCAATAAAAAGAACTTCTAAAACAGATAGTAGCTTTTCTCCTTCTGTGGTTGCATGCAAATAGAGACCACAATATTTGCGTATAAACCTTAACCGGAATAACAATATTTATGGATTTTGATACTCATTGAGGAACGTTGAGTATTGTCTAAGGTCTACCATTTCTAGAATTGTTCAATCTGCTTTACCTTTCTTCACATCAAATTGATTTTATTACGAACTCAATTAAGATACGAATTTTTCCGACATTAAGTTTGATGTATGTAATTTAGAATTAGAAAGTAAACTACAGTTACATGAAGCTCATGCCACGGTTTGGTTTTACAATAATCGAATACTTCCGCTATCTCGCTTAAATTTTAACATTTTCAAACTACTGCCAGTTTTACAATATTTTCGAATAGATGCAGTTGGGTGACACCTGGCAGATTTTTAAGACACTAACAAACACGATCTGACTATATTGAATATAACGATATTAATAGTAATAATATATGTGAGAATTTTATATAAATTTAATTAAATGTACACGAAATTAGTAAATATCTTTAATTTTATACATTTTTGTTTTTGACCACTGTCATTATCATTTGATATTTTTGATAAATTTTCTTTTTATGTGCTTTTTTATATTTTAGAATTTTCTTTTGATTTGTTGTTTGCACAGATTCTAGATTTCATGAAAAGATTCGGAAAGGTTTCTTTGTGTCTTTGGATTGGCGGATTCTTTGTCATCAATAAGAAAATCCCTTTTAAGGTTGCTACTTCTGACATTGTATTGTAATTTAGAAATGTAATTTATTATCGATTTATAAAGAAGAAAGATTAAATACTAACTACAGAACTGTATTGTGTTTCAGATGGCAAAAACGTTGCAATCCGTTTTCTCGGGACTTCTGAAATTAAGAAATGTATCGAACCTGAAGAAAGAATGTGACAACTTCGTAACTAATTATACTTCTTATAACTGAAAATGTCGAATTTCAGAAGTACGAATTATGTATAAATGAAAAGATTCACTCTCTCGTAATTGATATAGTGTATACATTACTTGATTTTTTCATCTTTTTTGCTTTTACTCATATTCTCTTTATTTAGATAGTTATATAATTAATGTGTCACAGATTGTTCTAAACAGGAATATAGTTTTTAATGTTGCTGAAAAATAATTTTCAGTTTTTTCGAATGAATTCAAACTGCATTTGCCTACATAGCCCAGTGAATTTATTGAATAGTTTAAGAATAACTTTATAATATAATCGAGACGAATTGATAATAATAATTATAATAGTAATAAGCGGAGACCCCAAACGATTAGTACAGGGGTCGCCAAACTTTTTTAACCGTCGACCCCCAACCACTTTCCAAAGCCTCACATTGACCCCCACCGTAAAGTTTTATTGCAAGTGTATGTGAAAAAAAAACAAAAAAAAAAAAACGTTGTGCTCTCTGTATAAGAAAGAAAAAAAAAAGGTTGTGACCCCTTAGCCGCATCGACCCCTGGGGGTCGATATCGACCACTTTGGCGACCGCTGGTATAGATTAAATAAGAAGTTGATTAAATTATAGTCTAAAGTTTATGATTTTTAAAATATTTTTATTGTGTATTTTAATTTATTTTGATAGCAGTTCTAGGAGAAAATAGCTAGCAATCAGAAGTTACATCAGTTTCTAACCTTCTGAAACGTAGTTTGCAGTTTGACGATTTCTCAGACGTTACATTTAGTTTTGGAGAATCTCCTAATCAGAAAAAGTCAAAGCCCATAAATTAATTTTCGCTATGAGAAGTGACATCTTTCAAGTCATGTTTTGTGGACCTATGCGAGGAAGAAAGAAACTTGGTGTACTTGTGGCAGATCTGTATATGCCACAAGTACACCAACATGATCTGAAAGATGAACACATCTTTCAGATCATGTTGTAAAGATAAAGTATTGATCTTAAAAATTTATTAGTACTTTTTTAAATTATAAAGTTGTTTTATTATTTAAGTAAAGATAGATATAATATTTAACTGTATTGGTTTTAGTTGTATTAATTTATCAGAATTATATTCCAAAATCTATAAAGATTTTGGAATGTAACTTGGATTGTTATTATTATTATTTATTTATATTTTTTTTATGCCATTTAGGATGTATTTTTAAAATTTTTGGCTCTTTCCACTAAGAAGGCTTTTTTTCCATATCCATTGTGGGAACGACCAAACCCAGAATGAGGGCGACCGTGCAGGGCCGTACGAACAGTTTCGGAGCCAGCAACAAACCTCATATTTGATGCCCCTAATTCAACGTTAATTACAAAAACATTTTACAGACTTGTTTTTGGAGGCTCCAAGGTCGGCTCCCAAGGCAAGTGCTCTCCTTCATCCCCTTAGTTACGCTTCTGCAACCTAGTGGTGAGGGACAAGGTCTGACATATGCAGGACAGGCTGTTCCTGAAAAATTCCTAGGGTTTTTCGACCGCCTGGATTCGATTCCGGGTTCCTCAGAGCGGTAAGCTAATTCCTTAATTTTTTGGCCATCTGGCCAGCACGATTTTGAATATTGTCATTAATCGCTTTTTTATTTTAATTTTTTCTATCCTATAGACTTTAATAGGGATCATTTCCAGTTTAGGCAGACTCGCAATGAGATCGAATTACTAACCCAGCCCAAAATTGAACTTAATTCTTCTAGAAGAACAGGCTTATTCTTTTAACCTCTCAACCACCTGACTATGTTCATTAAATAATAATATCTAAGTACCTAACCAAACCGATTGCTATGATTGCTATGAAAGCAAGAAGGCGCTGCAGCACCACAAGCATCCTCTGGATAATCCTTCGCCTGATATCTTGAAAAAGTTTATGATAATTCTATATAATGACAATGTGTGACATAATATTAGCATTTCCGTGAATACAGGAAGAATCATAGGAAGCTGCGATTCTCACGAGGATCTTTGGATAGGAGAGAAACGGATGTATCGATCTCCGTTCCTTAATTTCTCATAGACTCGGCACAATGGGCCTCTCAGGTTTCAATGCCGAGTGACCTCTCCACACGCAATTGAAGAATAATTCAGCAACTTCTATAATATTTTAATACATAGGCCTAATAACTTTTATTATTGATTTTAATATTTGAAAATAAGAATTCATCCAGATAAAATTTTCGTATATTTGTTACTCCCGAACAAGATAATGTTTAGAAAATTTTGAATTTAATATTGAAATCAATTCGCTATACGACAACTCTTAAAATTCATCTTCAATAGAGATGACTACAAGAGAATCGGAATCACTGATTTCACTTTTTTCCTCGTCTTCCAATAGCTTTGATAATTCTTCATTTGATATTTCCTCTCCGGTGGCATCTATGATGGCCATATTTTTGAATCCATTTTCCTCGACGTTGAAATGAAATGAATAAAAAATATCCGAATCACATTCTTCTGTCTTCCAGATGTCTTCATCGAGTGAACCACTAATCGTCTCGTACTGAATTTTCTGTAATTGAGAAAACTTTGGTTAGGAATATACTGTAGTAAGGAATAATAGGCGAGGATAATTAAATAAGGAATCTACATTATTGTTAATCACCACATAGCCTCTACTAGACTCGTATTGCGAAGAAGTCAATGTAGAAAAGATCACTAAGCACAAAATATAAGCACAAAATATAAGCACAAAGAACTTTAATAGCCATTTTTTATTATAGATATTATCAGACTTCTGTTTATCCAAATTATCATTATCGGTTGTGAATTTTCTCTGGATACTTTCTGCGCTCTTTGATGATATGGAAGAGATATTAAAATTCATCAATTGGTTGTCGGAGTGTGAAAGATCCACGAATTTTAATTTTTCTTGTGTGATGTTAACTTCGACGAGACATTGATCTAAATGGCATGAATTTGTACAGTTTGCGAGGAAGAGGCACAGATATAGTACCTGCAAAATCTTCATTCTTTCTATAAAATCTGATGATTTTTACTCAAAATAATCGATCTTTCACTTAATTATTGATTTTAATATTGAATAATGTTTAATAAACAATAAAAATTGAAATAATGAATTTTGGATGAACGTTTTCAAATTATTATTGTTATTAAAAGCGAAATTATTTTCGTAAATCGGAATAGCATTATGCATAAAGAACGCCCTATTTTAATTCAACTTTTACTTGGTATGCAGAGTGGCCACGAAATCTCTATGTATGAGATTGTGTCTTGATTATGTGTTAGAGAATATTTTTACGGTAAATTCAATTGATAGTGGATTGGACATAAATCTGATACTTGGGTGCGTTGTATAGTAAACGGTTATAATACAGCCAGATAAACAAGCAAACGAAATAACCCGTTTTATCTGAAACGGGCGATGTCATTGATTTGCTTATCCAGCTGGATTAAATCACTTTACCAGGTGTAAGTTTTCCGACGCCTTCGCGCAAACTAGACTCCCTTATCTTACATCCATTCAAAGATAGGATTGCTCGCTATTCTCGCCTTTTAGTCAGGATGATACCAGAAAACCCAGCTGCCACAGCCTCCATACAGAGAACTGTATGGAGGTGGCTGTGGCAGCTGGAGCGACTAATAGGGCTTAAGCCCTGGGCTCCAAGTGTCAAGGGCCCGCAAAAATTGAATTAACATTATAAATTTTTAATACTTTTTCGTTAACAATGAGCACTTATCGTAAAGTAAAGAATAATTAATATTAATAATATAATAATAATGATAATTAATAGTATTACAGTATTTGTTTTATTGTAATCAATGTAACGTAATTGGTCAGGTCATGTCTGCCTTTATTAGAACAGTTTGGTGCAGAACGGCCTAACATATTGTTTCTGAAAAGTAAACCAAACAATCCGCTTAGTCGATCCAAGCGTGTGCTGAGTATCGCTAAATTGATTACAAAATGAATTGTTATGCTCGTTTAATATATATATAGACGAAGGTAATCCAAAAGTAAGGTCTCCTATTTTTTTCTAAAATACAAAGAAACGTTTATTTTCAATAATGTTCGTATCATTTTAAAGCTTGAACATTTATCTATTTTTCTACATAATCGCCATTTCGGTCGATGCATTTTGGTATGACATGGTCATATAAAAATTGCCACAGCAATTTTTATACATGTCATACCAGCTCACCGCTATTTTAAAAAAAATAGGAGACTTACTTTTCAAATTACCCTCGTACAGTGCTTTATATTCAGAGATCCTTACTAATTTAATTTAATTTAACATTGTTTTAATTTATCTTTTTTGTTCTAATTTTGTAATACTGCGTAGAATGTTGTTACTAAATGTTTTGTATTTGTGAAATTTTGTCATATTTTTTCTCCCCACATCATTGGACTGTATCTAATAATTACATCAGTTTAATGGGAGCCAGTTTCTCATAGATGTCCCTTCGAGAAACACATCATTTGTCAGATGCTTACATTGTGCGTTGTCTTATCCCGTCAATTCAATCTATTCAATGCAAATTAATTAATTGTGATAATGTTTTAACTGATAATGCCGTAGTTTACTTTTCCAACGTCAAGTTCCATGGCACAGTGGTTAGCATCTCAACCTACGAATTGGAAGGTCTCCGGTTCGATGGAAAAATTAGTTTTTTTATGTGGACGTTCTGAAAGGTTCGAGAACACACGTTAATTCACTATCATTTATATATTTCGACAATGCCCTCGCGCTATAAAACCGCAAGATCTCGGGTTAAGGAGCAGTTGTTGTCTTGTACTGCAGGCTGCAGTGTTTGTATATTCTGCCGTGAATAAACATTCCTTTGTGTTTACCAAAAATTTGTTATTGCGGTTCACCGTTCATCTACGCAATATTTTGGTGGAGCACCGTTTATCTACGCGAAAATATCTCATTGTCTTTCATTTTTATGTAATTTTTATCTCACTCATATTTTCTTTTTAATATGATATGAAGCATTAAATATGTTAATACACTTCTTTTATTTATAGCCTATAAATAATTCTATTTGTTTCTTAGAAAACAGAAACAATGTATTAGGATTTCTTAAATTTATTATAATTCCTTCCAAGATAGAATTTTATGAACAACATCAAAAAGTAAAGAATAATTAATATTAATAATATAATAATAATGATAATTAATAGTATTATTTATTATCATTATTATTATATTATTAATAATAATGATAAATAATAAAGTAAAGAATAATTAATATTAATAATATAATAATAATGATAATTAATAGTATTACAGTATTTGTTTTATTGTAATCAATGTAACGTAATTGGTCAGGTCATGTCTGCCTTTATTAGAACAAAATGAAAAGATTCACTCTCTCGTAATTGATATAGTGTATACATTACTTGATTTTTTCATCTTTTTTGCTTTTACTCATATTCTCTTTATTTAGATAGTTATATAATTAATGTGTCACAGATTGTTCTAAACAGGAATATAGTTTTTAATGTTGCTGAAAAATAATTTTCAGTTTTTTCGAATGAATTCAAACTGCATTTGCCTACATAGCCCAGTGAATTTATTGAATAGTTTAAGAATAACTTTATAATATAATCGAGACGAATTGATAATAATAATTATAATAGTAATAAGCGGAGACCCCAAACGATTAGTACAGGGGTCGCCAAACTTTTTTAACCGTCGACCCCCAACCACTTTCCAAAGCCTCAGTCACAGTAGTGACACACCATGGACTGAAAATACACTCACAGACAGACACACACAAAACACAATTCTATCACAAGCCTGCCTAGCAGAGAAGAATAGAAACACAAATAAATGACATTAGACAGCAATTAGGCAGGCTGACACAATACACTAAAAACAACATAACACCCAAATTAAAGAAACAACTCAAAAACATTTTCAAGAAAATTAAAACACACACAAAACATGAACATCACAACACACACATTACAGAATACATCGATACACTTAAACAAAAACTCGCAGCCAAAGCACATAGACTCAAACGATACAAAACATGTACACTACGAAAACAACAAAATAAATTATTCACAAACAATGAAAAACTTTTCTACAGACAAATCAGTACCAAAACAAATACTGAAACACAGCACAGTGGCACACCAACAGAAGAAGAACTCACAACTTATTGGTCNCATTCGACGATCGGTCGAATAATGTTACCACTTCCCGGGACGTGGACCCAGAGGTTGGATTTTGGGAAGCGTGTTCGTGTTGTCAGTTATGTAATTTACAGAGCTTGTGAATGGAAAGTGGGTGGATGGATGCGACGACTGTGTTGTTGTTGGAACCGTGTGTGTTACCGTGAGGGGTGTTGTTATTTTAGCGATTGGATGTAAAGCGTTAGTATAACAAGGGGGAAAAAAATTAAAAAACCCCTTGCCGTCTTAAAACTAGGTTAGTACTTAAAGGCTAATGAAAATAAATTAAACTAAAGAGATGATAAAAAATAATTAGTCTGCAAAAACTTACTTCGTATTATCTCTTTAGCTTAATTTACTAGCGTTAGTATAACAAGGGGAAAAAAAATTAAAAAACCCCTTGCCGTCTTATATCTAGGTTAGTAATAAAATAAAGAAAATAAACCAATCGTCTCTCTTCCTCCTCCTCCTCTTCCACGGTCGGTGGCATCGCTAGGGGTTGCGAAACCATAAAGGAACAATAATGCGCTGCCTCCGAGCTGAAGTGAGCAGCCTATTTAAGGTTTGCTCCACAGGTTTCGATTTGCACCTGGGAAATCTATAGGCTGGAAAGTCAACCAGAAAGTGGGTGAGCCTGCGCAACTTCTCCACCGGCGTCTCGTCCGGCTCACGTGGGTGGCGAAGAACGAAGAGGTTCTCGCCCACCACGTGTTTAGCGAAGTGCACAGTGTCCCACAACGCGTACTTCGTCAAATCTTCGGGTGGTTCCGAATGCCACTCATCACCAAACGGATCGTACGGCCGGCGATGGAGTTCTTCCTGCACCCTATTGTGCAGGTCCCAGAGACGAAACACGTCTCCGAACTCCATCCCGTCGACCGGACCAATCCCGTCTGGTTCGGCAAAGAATGTGTCTGCCAGAACCAGCAGTGATGAGAGATCCGTACTGACCCCGTGATCAGACGAACTTGGCAAAATATTGCCACCCCCTTCCTCAAACCGAGAATCTCCCAGCAGGGAAACCAGAACCGAGGAAACGCGCACCGACTCCTCGCTTTCCGTCGGAAGGGTGATCTCGCGGATACCCTTGACGGAAAGAGAGTCGTCGCGGGGCTCCTTTCCTCTGCGGAATCGCAACCTCAAGTTCCGCCACCAACTCCTCACCTTCTCCAGCATCTTCACTCTGCAAGAAACAAAAATTAAATTTTGTTATTGATGAATGCAATATAATTTGTATTACAATTTCAAGCAAGAAGTTGATCGTCTCAATCTTTCTTGTTTTGCACAATTTCTATATAATCAAAGTTTTAATATACAGCAGGGTAGTAGGTATACAGTTGTTATTATGGGAAAAAAACATACAGGGATAAAATAGGAAGAAAAAACATTTATTTTTATGTACAAATTAAATCACAAATAAATAAGGAATACCAACTAATAAAAGATAATAAGAATAACAATAATGAATATCAAATGTTTGTATTTCTCAGATTCTCAACTGTATACCTACTTTTGCACCCCCCCCCGTATTTGCAATTGATTAAATGGTAAAATGATTAATGAGAAAGAAGTATACGTAATAATTTAGCCAATATTAAAAGAATTTTCTATTGATTTAATAACAGAAATTAGTTTAAAGGTATTTGAAATGAAGTTGACCAAACGTAAAAATTGCTGAGGGCATACTTTAGTCACATTCTGTTTTGTGGTATACAAGATTATGTTTTAAATTTTAGTTTTGTTCAAAGTTTAACGAATATTAAAAACAATTTTCCTATTTCATAAATACAAACTCTACTTCTTAAATAAACTTATAAACAATGTCTCAAAAAATTATTAGAGGCATTTGCAATTAATTGGTATAATTGGGCTGCAGTTTGAAAAACTTGTAGATCTATTGCCTCTAAACAGTAACACTAACTTGTAAGCAGCCTAACTTGTAAGTAACGGTCATGGGAAGATGACATAGTCAAGAGCGACCCGAACCCGGGCTTCTGCTTTACTCGTGTTTTGATATTTGCATATCATACTCAAAGTATACAATAAGTTCACATAATACAAAGTACAGTTGTCCCTCTATAGTCCGACGTTTTTTAATCCGACATGCTCAGTAGTCCGACGCACCTCCCGTCAAGGTACCCGTCCCCGTTACGTGTCTGCTTGCACAGAAGCATGTCGCGATGTGAATCTCCCCATCCAATTCTTACTCGATGACACACATTTCGTGTGTTTTATTTATGTGAGCAGTCGGAGTAGAGAATATTGTAAATTACTGCTAGCAAAACAATGCGAAATATGTAATTATTTTAGGTAATCCGGATACTTTTGGTAATCTGACACACCTTTGGTCCCATGCCTGTCGGATTATCAAGGGACAACTGTATACAATAAGTTCCAATAAAAGTCACACGCTCCTTTTCTGAGAATTTACACATCATGCTAACTTTTTAGAGGGAAGCGTATTTGACGAAAGCAATAGAATTTGATTTTATCAAAAATAACATTTCCATCAAAGCAAGCTCGTTTGCTTGAGGCTGTGGAGAGTAATGGCTGGCTTAAAAAGTAGGGTTCCCGACCGTTTTCTTCTTTCCTTTTGACACGATGTTTTTCGTCTATCACATTTTATTTTTTCTCCCACTAAGCATTCAAAATTATATAAATTGACACTGTAGATTTTATAAACAAAGTACATTTACATAGGCTGTGTCTCAGACCCAAAGTTTTCTAGCGAATCGTGCAACACGATAAATTTTTCCTCCCAGTCCCAAGGGTTCCAAAGTACCAGTTTGGACACGGTTAAAATTAACTAAAAATAATCAGAAGAGGTTGCCGGGGACTACACTTGCAAATATTTCTGTTCTGTAGCTTAGAAGCAAATGTGTTGTTTTTTGGATTTAATTCTTTATATACCACAGTAAACGATCGCATCTTACATATACAAATACTTAACACCTTATTCTTGCCGAGAAATATAATTTATTCGAAACAAACTAACGTTTTCAGCCTGATTCACAGGCCATCTTCAGGTTTAGAATACATTTGAATTAAAATTCCATCAATGGAATACAAAATTTAAATTCAAAATTAAATAAGGTACAATTAAAATAAAATATTAAATAACCAACATAAAACAAAAATAAAAATATAAAAACAAAACTATATAAAAATGCAACAAATGAATATATAAGTATTAATAAATGCAATTACTAAGACATTCAATAAAACTACTATATTGATTGGTTAGAGCCCTTATTAAACTTCTTAACCATAAACTTCCATGCAGAGGGAAGACTTTCTGCGTCCCTCGCATTTAGACAGCCTTCTTGTAATCTACTCCTATAAATCTGCAACTTTTCCGCTGTCAACGCCAAAGATGGAGAAGATAAAGGATTTATGATGGTCGCCTCATTCCATTTGACTATAGCTCCTGGTGCTTGTGCCATTTGGGACAAAATTGTTGCATTAGACCCCTTTCTGATATTATAACTATGCTCCTTGATTCTAAGCCCTAAACTTCTAGTGGTTACTCCAATGTAGTCTTTTTTAACGCCCAATTGCATGTTCTCATAC